CTAAGATATTTCTTTGTATGACAGCAGGTTAACAATTGAATAGTAAAAAAAAAAAACAAAAAAATGCAAGGAAATGGGCCAATAAGCAACAATTTAGACCAGGGTGACAAGATGGCAAATATTATCTTTGCTAAATATTCTTCTTTTTAATGCTTGAGTTCCCCCAAAAATATTCCTTTAGTTTTGATTTAAAATAAAAATCTTGATAAAGCCAACTTGCTGTTTAAAGGAGAGGAAGTGAAGGAGAGGGAAAGAAGAGCAAGAGCCACATACACTGCCCATTTAATTTTATTTCTTAGATGATATCTGCATTAGTGGCTTGTATAGTTATTTGAATTGGCCTGCAAATATGCGTAGTATGTTTTTCAATTATGTGTGGGACTTTTCCCTCTGCTATTAATTTTATATGGCAAATCTTTATTAAACCCCTTTATAAATTAGTACCCACTCAGGAATACCATTTCATTTCTTTCCTTTTCCCCCTTGCTTTCTTTTCTCTTCTTCTTCCTCCTTCTCCTTCTTCTCCTCCTCCTTTTCCTTCTCCTTCTCCTTCTTCCTCTCCCCCCCCACTCCCATGCAGGAATTATACCAGGGCCTCACATTTGCTAAGCAAGCACTCTACCACTGAGCCACATCCCCAGTCCAGAAATACTCTTTTAAAAGAAGAAGACATTTAAAAGGGCCCATTGTTGTTCAGATTTAGTAAAGTGAAATTGAAATATTTAAGTGGAAAGATCCTTTTCTACTTTTCAGTTGTTGGGAGACTCAACGCCCATTCTCAATTAAAAGACAAACACTGAATCAATTCCCACCCACCCTGTAGCCCAGATCCGGGGGAGGGGCTACAACAATCTGGAAGCCAGTTTGTTTGCATAAAGTAGTTAAGGGGATAGAGAAGAGGGGGAAACGTACCTTGGACAAGCACAACAGATATCAGCTATAACTCAAGTCAATAACCGATTTTCCCCCTCCCGCTTACAACCAAGACTGCTCTCTAATCCTTCCTTTACCCTCCAGCCCTATCCCTCACACCCCAGTTCCCCACTTCGCTTCTGCTGACTAAACGGGAAGTCAGGGGTCAGGGCTGCTCCAGAAGGCTCCCTAGACTGGGCGGTTGCCATGCTCGGGCACTGGTGCTGAGGAGAAGCAGAGCTTGGGACTGCCCTAGATGTTGGAGAATTGTAGCCTGGGACAACCCGGGATGGGGGAAGCCTGGAAGAAAATGAGGGGTTGTTTGTTTGTTTGTGTTTCCCATTTGAACCCTACCTACAACCTGACTCGGGTAGCAGTCAGTGGGCATCTTGGTCGCTAAAAGTCTTCGCTGCCCGCCGTGCCCTTCTGCCAGCGATACGAGCCCATGAGGCCTAGAGAGACTGCCTCTACCCTGAAGGGGCAAGGGTAGATCTTGAAGGCTAGGCACCATGCGCCCTGTTGCCCCCTAGGCCGGTGGCAGGAGACCAGGGGAGCCCCCAGCGCTCGGGTTCTGATAGTGTCTTCGGAGTTCTCCGAGGTCAACAGCTACCCGCAGGACCAAGTTTTGGCTGCGGCTAAAACTGCTCCCTCCCGGGTGGCGACGCCGGATCTCTCCCGCTCTGCTTTCTGTGCTGGGGGCAAATGGAGAGCGGCTCAAGCGTTGGCCCGGAGCTCGGAAAGGCAGAGGTCTGGCCTCGCCTCCACCGCGGGCGCTCCTGCGCGGCCTGAACGCGTCCTTTATTGACAGCCAGATAAGCAGGCGGCGGCCGTGGCGTTTCCAGCGTCGCTCTTGAGCACCCTGCTGGGTTGCAGGGATCCGCTCACATTTAATGGCCCGGACTCCAAACAAGCCCGGAGCAGCCCTCTCGGCGGCCTCCGGTTGGGACAGGGGGCGGGTGAGGAGTGAGCCTCGAACAGAAACTGCGGGGCTGGGGAGGCCTACCCAGGCCCAAGGCCTACCCATAGTCCACACCCCCGAGGAATATGACAAAGTGGAGGAGATCTTGGGAGGAGGTCCCGAAGGAGAGCGAGGGGCTTACCTAGAGAAACTAGGTCACGGGAGAAGACCGATGGCGAAGAACCCGAGAAAATGCTGGAGCGCCACTTCCCAGCCCAGCCAGGTTTGGGGCTACACCCCCACGGTAGGGTTCAGGCCCAGATTAGGATGGCCAATAAGGGTGGACGCTCCTTGGCCCTGACTCCTGAATCCCTGAGAGTTGGGGTGAAGAAGGGAAGTGTGGAGAATATTCCCCTCTCAGCCAAGGCTTTCTTTCTCTTCCCCACCCATCCCTCCCTCCGGGCCTCAACGGGTAGAAAAGACAAAAAATCTAGTCCCTCTGTTAGCTGGCTAAACCAAGAGAAGTAAGGGGACCTGCTTGGAGCTGTCCCCCGGCCTGTTGTGAAGCCCTGCACCTGTCCAGGTGTGCTATGGAAGGAGCAGAAACCTCTCAACCCCTCACCTTGTGCCATCTGTGCACGGCTCTCCCTTCGCGGCCCCTACTGACCAAGGTGTTTAGGATCAGGCCCTGGGGGCCTCCTCTGACCCAAGCGCCCAGCTCCTGGCCTTAACATACACGCCTGAGTCCACCCAGGCTGCGGCTGTCTACCAGCAATACCACGCCCCTTCACTTCCCCTCCCTCCACTTCCTTAAGCGCCCCCCTGACCCTCCAGGCCGGGTGTCAGTCACTTCCAAATTCAAGATCTGGATGCAGACAGAGGGAGAAGAAATTGGAAGATGAAGAGCCCCCACTCCCCTCCATCCGGTGGAGGGGGGACGGGTTAAGACAACCCTGGTGTAGGCATTCATTCCTAGAAACAGGCTCAGCTCCTCTAAGCCGTCTCCCAGTCCACAGAAGGTGTGAAGGGAAGACTGGCACAGACCACCAGGTCAGTATCCTGCCGACCTCCTCTCAGTTTCTGTCGTTTCCTCGGTGCCAAGAGGGGAAGTCTTCACCTCAATAACTGTGATTTCCGCATTTTCCTTCTCCAGACCACCAACTCAACAAATAACCCTCAAGCAAAAGACAAATACAATCACCTACATTTTCTACGTGGCTGGAGACTTTCAGTAGCAGGGGCGAGGGAAGCCCGGCAGGCCCGGTTTGGAACTTAGGAAAACTCAGCGGACCTGCCATAACTTTGGCCTAATTTGAGGGAAGGTATCTCTCTTCCCCTGGAGCCCCAGTCTATGCCCGGCTGGTGACTTGTGTGCACGAGGACCAGGTTGGGGTCTCCTTGAGCTCCTTTGAAAACGATTTCTGCCAGAGGCCACTTCACTTTCAACCCCGGTGCGGCCTTCGGGTCCCTCTGATGATATGACTCCCTGGAGAATCCAGGAGGGGTTAGGGTGGTCTCCCAGAGAGATAGGTGACTAGCCTTAGGGTAGGGTTGTGGGATCCGCGTGATGAAAGGGCAAGAGGAGCGCACTTAGCAGGACTAGCTTACTGGAGGAGTTGACTGTACGTTCTAAAGGACCAGGCGGATCAGAGCTGGGCGTGGGCAGCAGCCTGCCCGGCCAGGAAAGGCCAGAGCTGGGGATGCGAGCGGGTCAGACCCTAGGTCGGGAGAGGGAGGCTCCCGCCGGGCGGGAAAGCTAGTCTGCGCGGAGCTAAACCCAACTCTGGCCGCCATGACGTCACGCGGGCCGGGCAGCCAATGAGGACGGCGCTGGCGTGGATATTAAGGAAAGTTAGCGCCTGCCTGAGCACCCTCTTTTCTTATCATTGACATTTAAACTCTGGGGCAGGTCCTCGCGTAGAACGCGGTTGTCAGATCTGCCACTTCCCCTGCCGAGCGGTGGTGAGAAGTGTGGGAACCCGCGCCGCCAGGCTCACCTGCCTCCCCGCCCTCCGCTCCCAGGTAACCGCCCATGCCCCCACAGCTACCCAGCTCGCGGCTCGCGGCGCCTTTCCCTTGCCGGCGAGGGTGTCCCCCCAATCAAAGCCCTCCCCAAGTGGCCCCGGGGCTCGATTTTTTTGCTTTCAAAAGGAGGCAAACAAAAATGGAAGGGAGTTATCGAGGCCGGGATAGGAGGGGGGAGGGGAGCTATTTTGGCTGAGCATGCTTTTCTGCAAAAGTAGCAAAATGTTTCAGTCCCGAGTGGACTTCCAGCCCTGAGCTGAGGGTTGAGGGCGGAGGTCTGCCGCTTCTGTCTACAGAAGTCGCTTGCGATCGTGAGAAATGCAGGATGTGAAGACGCAGTTTGCACCCAAGATCCGCCCGCAAGACATTCCCGTATGGAGAAGTCCCCAGCCATGGTGGGAGTGCATGGAAGTACCCCGCCGCGGGTCTAGCGAGGTGCAGCAAAAGTTTCCCTTGGTTGGAAAAGTGTAGATGGTTGGACCATAACAAAGTCTGAGAGATGGGGTTCGTTTCCCTGAAAGGATCGATGGACGAAAGAATGCGGCTCTCAGAGCTGGGCAGCGAGTAAAGCCCCCAGCGTGTGATTTGAGCTTCACTTCGGAAGACCTAATAATTAGCGATTTTCATTGAGCTAGAACGCGGGCTCGGGTTACTGCGAGCTGGTTACTGCCGGCGCAGCACTCTCTGCTTATGGGAAGCTTATGGGCGCCTGGAAGCCCCGCGGCTGAGGGTCTAGTAAAGCGGAGCCCAGTCACATTCCCTCTCTGGGACAGCTGGAGCCCCGGTGCCGGAAGTTTCCCTAAGTGGGTCAGGAAAGGGACGACCCCAAACTTAGACTAACTTGTGATTCCGCGGGGCGAAAGTCCCGGGACCCTAGCCCTGAGCTGCTGGAGACACCCAGGCCGACTTAAGCGCCGCTCTGGAGCATCCTGCCCTCCCGGGTTGGGGAGGCCTCCAGGTCAGGCCCTGGTTCGCCCTCCCCCACTCCAAAGCGCGTTCCTGGCGCCCCCTCTCTGGACAGTCTGGAGGCACTTTGGGAGGACGTTGGGATCTCAGGCTCTGGTGACAGGTGCTAGGACCACCTCCCAACTCTTACAGGCTAGGTGGCCATCCTAGCCTCGAAGCAAGGCAATCAGAGAAGTGGCCGCCCCGCCGCGCACCTTACCTGGGTCGGGGTCCTTTCCTCCATAGATTCCTTTCCCCAGAGCCGGGCGATGAGCAGGTTGCCTGCTTCGCAGTGGGAAGTGGACCTTGTCCTCCAGTCATAAATCAAACCCAGCCATCCTCGGGCCTCCTCCCTCATTAGAGATGTTTATTGGAGATTGTGTTTATTCGGCTGTCACGGCGAGAAAACGCGGTGACATAATTACCTCTGACCAGAGTCCTCGCCCTGCGCTCAGGGCAAGCCAGGGACCTCCTCTGTTGCCTTCTCACTCCGGTGCCCTCCTCGATGGGAGGATGTATGTGGTTGGTCTTTTTTCCTTCAGATCCTCTCATATAATTTGGATTATTGGAGGGGGTGCTATTCAGATTTCCTCACGGCCCGGGAGTTTATTTTTTTTTAGAATTTGAAAGGAAAACCGAAGGGAATCCAACGCCCCTCCGGGGCAGAAGGGGGCAGCGCGGGAGAGAAGGGAGGAGAGTCTCTTTCTCTGCGCAAAGTTTCCAGTCGGTGGGGCCGTGGCGCGAGGGGTCTGGACTCCACTCGCGCCTGGGGAGTAGGGCGCTGACCTGGAGGAATGGATGAGGATATTAGTGGTTGTGTCTGTTGCTTCACTTTTCATCATCTTTCCACTCTGAAGGAATTGGAGGCTTCTGGGCCCCCGACTGAGGGTTCTTAAATTCTCCCCGCCGAACTCCGAAGAGGCTACCCTCACCTCCTCCCCGCCCCTTGGTCCCCTGGCTGCCCCCTGGGCATCGAGTTTTCCCCTCTCGCCAGGTTTGTAAGTCACCATCTGTGTGGCTGGGTTAGGAAATGATGAAAAGTGCCGAATTGTTCTCTAATTGAAAATACATTTTTTTTTTTTCCTGGAGAGCACGCGCTGACAAAATATCTGGGATCCCAGCTTTTGATCCCTCGCTTGCCGCCTCTGTTCTTCAGTCGCTAATAAAACTCGCATTGAGCCCCTTAGTGCCTTGATTAACAGGAAGATTAACTCTTTCTGCTGTTGGGAACAGCTTGTCCCAATCAATGTCATTTTAAAAGCCTCGTCAGGATGTCCTCAGCTCTGGTTCCCGGTTGCTGGAATGAGCCAGCCATGACATTTGCTCTTTCCTGCTCCCCAGCCCCAGAGCCCTCAGTTCCTGGTCGGCAGGTTCCTAGATCCAAGACTGGACAAATTACAGGACTTGGTCTGGCCTTTGGAAGAGGGTTTGGAGAGCAAATCTCTTGGGAGAAGAGACCTTGGCTTGCTTTTCTTTTTGAAGCTGAACTCTAGCTTTTTTTTTGGGGGGGGGGTGGCGAAGGTAACAGGGAAAGGAGTGTTGAGGGATCCACTCAAGGTGAGGAAATGGAAAGCAGACTTTGCTAGGTAACCCTATTTCTAAGAATCCCAGAGTGCTGCTGTTTTCAAGGGCCCTAAATCTGATGAGCTTTAATCTGTCCCTATCTAGACAACTACATGTAGAGTCCGGGAGGCAGTGTTGGGAGTCAGATCCACGGACTTTAAGAAATCTCTTTTCTGGGACACCCAGCTGGACAATGTTGTTTTAAAGGGGGGACATGGACCGGGAGAGATACTTGCCGACCAGTATAAACGGAAAGAGGACCGGTCCCAGAGAGCCCCCTAACGCACCAACCATTTGGCAGGAAGGACGAGGGCACCTAGCTTCCTTCAGCCAAGCGTGGACACAGCTTGGAGGCGCCGCAGGGAGGTCTCTGGGATCCCCTCGGCTTCCCTAAGCTGTGGACTTGGCCAGACTGCAGGGGGGGGGGTGGAAACCCGGCAGGTTGCTGGGGAAAAGAGGAGAAAGGCCTGAAACAAGGAAGCACCCCGGACTGGGGGGGCCGGGGTGAGAGGCCTTTGCCTTTGGTGATGGTTTGACCGGTTTGTCAGTTCCGCCAACCAAGGAACCCATTTTTCCCAGGGTCTGCAGATGGAGACGTTTAGAGCTATGCAAAGTGATGCAGACGTTTGTAGAGACTTTCTATCAAAAAATTCCAGGCTTTACCATTTCCAGCGCGCCTGCACCGTGCCTGTCAGCTTGGCTAAGTGAAAGCAAGAGTTTGAAGGTTTCGACCACTGGGTGGGAGATTCTTGGTTCCGAAACTGGGAGCCGAAAATATACCCCCCAGAGTGCTGGACACTCTTTTGCCTGGACAGAGGACGCCCCGGGACCCGGAACTTTATGGGGTGGACACAGGCAAAGGGCTGGGACTAATACGGAGGAGAGGCACTCTGAGCACTCTCGCAGCTAGCCACGATCCCCCAGTGTGGGCACCGACTCCCTCGGCACGACAGTCTCCAGTTACCGGGTGGGACAACTGGAGCAGCCCCTGCTGCCGTGGACAGGCGGAAAAGAGGTCCTCCTCCGGCTCCAAGGGGCGGGGGGCGGTGAGAGCAGCGGGAGTGGAGGAGAAAGGCGACACCGAAACCTAAAGCGCAATTCCCCCACCCTAACCCACCCGGCCTTGAAAGGACTGCAAGTGGGCCTCGGTCTTGTTGGAAGCTTGAATTAAAATGGCGACCTGCAAGTTGTCTCAATTTTGTGGACATCTCTGGCACCCCCGCACCTCCACTCCACCCCTCCACGTCGCCCCCACAGCAGGTACTTGACAGAGGGAGTGAGTATCTGCAAAGAGCAAAATAGCACCCCCATCCTCCTTGAGACCTGTCCCGAGAGAGTGAGGAAATCTCGCTCTCACCCCGCTCTCCTTAAACTTTGGAAATTCTGCCTCCTTCCGGAGCTGAGTTCCCCCACCCCCAAATATTGACACATTGGAAGCGGCCAAGTCCTTTTTTGTTTCTTGTTTGTGCCGAGGAGTTTCCAGGAGTCCTTCCCTGAGCCCCCCATCCCCACCCAATGACGTCAGTGGCATTCACTCCCGGCTCCTCGCCTCTTCTGATTTTTTGTTAAAACTTTTCTCCGAGGTGAGGTGGGGGTTGAGGGGTGGGAGAAGGAGCTGATTCAAAGGGCCTGTGCCCTGGGGGGAAATAGCAACAAGATTATGGCTGCTTCTTTCTGAGGCAAAGCTTAAGAAGGTGCTAATCCACTCGGTCGCTAATTGAGAGGTTGTAAAAATGATATTCGCCTCCAGTTCGGACAGAGTCACTGGGTCTTTTTTCCCCCCTTCTCGCTCAAGCCTAGTAGCTTTGAGTGTGAGCTTCTTTAACGTTCACTTGAGAAGTAAAAGAGAAAGAAAGAGAACGCAGACTCTTGCTGCTCTGGGACCCGAAACCGATGCCCAAATTCCAGGGATCCTCTGAAAGTCGCGGTCCTACGAAATCTCTTAGGGAGGCAGCGGTACCCAGCGCCACCTCCTTTGCCTCTGGCCTGGATTTCCCTTGGCGCTGAGAGATCTGAGCCGCACAAAGGGGCTGAGCCCAGACGGAGGAGGTGAGCGGGAGGTACGAACCCATTTCGGACTGGGGCGGGGAAGGCCCTGGCTCCGGCTGCACTCTGCATAGGCTCCTGATAGCAACTTGCTGGGTTCTGGGCAGGACGGAGAGTGCCAGGCCCACACCAGGCCCAGCGGCCCAAGGCCGCCCACTGCGGCCTGTTTCGACTCCCACGGGGCTTCCGCGGCGCCGCCTGTCAGCGGTCAGTTGGGTTTGCGCAGGCAGTTATTGATGAGCTCTCACTTGCAGAACTTTTCAGAAGTCAGGAAGAGTTAAGTGTCCCGGCGGCGGCTTCCTTTCAGCCTCCTGGCCTCCGCTTTTCCGACTCCATACCCCTTTGCCAAGTCCTGGGGTATGTCCTGCATCTCAGGCCTCCTCCTTCCCGGCTCCAAGGCACTCCCGCTCCAAGACAGCTCAGGACAGCGCAGGACAAGGCAGCCTGATGGCTCCCCTGTCACCTAAACTGCGTGCTCCGAGGGACGCCTTTGGAGTGTACTGAGGTGTATCCTAATCATCGGGCATTCAACAGACAGACTTTTGGTGTGTGGTCAGAAGAGAAAAACCGTTTACTTACTTTCCTCCCCGGTTTTCTGGCAACAGCTGAAGGAGAGCTGTCTCCGTGGACTGAGCTGACCAAGGAGAGGAGTCTGGCGGACACATACTTGCACCACACACACAATCGGTAGCACACACCGACACACGCTGACATACCAACAACGCCGGAGGGGACACACACACACACACACACACACACACACACACACAGAATCTCTTACAGCATTGGTCATCCCCCCACCCGCCCCGAGCTTCCACCACTCCCCCTCCCCTTTTATCTCCCCCTTGCTTCCCCTCCTCTCAGGAGCCTGGAAAAGCAGCCACACTTAGTCAACAAATGGCACGTGGGAGAAGTTGGTGAGTGTTTGGTGAGGACTCTTCAGGGCTTTTCACAAGAATCCTCTGTACACAAAGTAAGTGGCGTGTTTACTCGGGCCTCTCCAGCCCGGGCTCTGCCTCCGCTCCGCTGCGCACCGCGGCTTCCGAAAGGAGAAAGAAGAGAAGAAAGGACTGGGGAAGCAGGGGTGGGGGAATGGGCAGGCCCAGGAGGCCTGGGTTGGGGAGGCTGCCGGCCTCGCCGAGTTTTCGGCCTGGCGGCCTCCTTCCGGCCTAGGCTTCGACGCGCCTCCACCGCCAGGAGTGAAACTGCCAGGACCCAGGAAGGCTCCCGCCCCTTTCCTCTTCTTCCTAGAGGCCAGGTGGGCTAGGCAGAGGCCAGCGTGGTGCTCGGCTTCCTGGGGCCCAGGCTGTGATGGGGTAGGGGCGGGAGGGGAGGGTGGACGGGGGCGGGGCGGCAGGCCACCGTTCACTGGAGTTGGCCAGAAAGGACAACGCAGAGCTGCAGAAACTTGCTCCCTCCAGGGGCTAGGAGTCCTGCACCCCGCTTAGGGTGGGGGTAAGGGAGCTCAACTTCCAACCCAAAGGCCTTCCCCCGATCGCTCAAGTTCGCGGCCGCAGCGCTGGCGGTGCTGACGGCCTGAACGATCAGAGCCGGGAGATGTCGGCGAGCTCCAGAGCCCCAGCGCGGGGGCCCTTCGCCGGGAAGAAGAGCCGGGACCCACCGGCGGAGCCGAAAACAAGTGTATTCATATTCAAACAAACGGACCAATTGCACCAGGCGGGGAGAGGGAGCATCCAATCGGCTGGCGCGAGGCCCCGGCGCTGCTTTGCATAAAGCAATATTTTGTGTGGGAGCGAGCGGTGCATTTGCATGTTGCGGAGTGATTAGTGGGTTTGAAAAGCGAACCGTGGCTCGGCCTCATTTCCCGCTCTGGTTCAGGCGCAGGAGGAAGTGTTTTGCTGGAGGATGATGACAGAGGTCAGGCTTCGCTAATGGGCCAGTGAGGAGCGGTGGAGGCGAGGCCGGGAGCCGGCACACACACATTAACACACTTGAGCCATCACCAATCAGCATAGGTGTGCTGGCTGCAGCCACTTCCCTCACCCACACTCTTTATCTCTCACTCTCCAGCCGCTGACAGCCCATTTTATTGTCAATCTCTGTCTCCTTCCCAGGGATCTGAGAATTGCTCTCATACACCAACCCAGCAGCGTCCGTGGAGAAAACTCTCACAAGAAACTCCTTTTAAACACCGTAATTTCAAACCGTTGTGGTCTTTAAGCAACAACAGAAAAAAAAAAAAACAACCAAAAAAACAAAAAACAAAAAAACACCCAATCAAACAAAACTCTTGACAGGAGCTTTGACAACGAGAGAGGATGCCTCATAAAGGTGAGTCCGCTTCTTTCTTTTCGCTTTATTTTTATTTCAGTGTTCAGGCAGGTCTCCCTCTGCCTCCCTCTGCCTCCCTCTCTGGTTGCCGGTCCCCTCCCCCACCACTACGCCAGAAGAGTTGGGCCAGAGAAGTTTCCACGCAGGAGCACAAACTTTCTACTTCCAGCGAAAGCCCGCGTCGGAGAGCGACCGCTGGCGAGCCGGAGCGGCGCAGGGCTCGGGGCCGGCTGCCGGCTCAGCTCCAGCGCTAGCGCGGGTTAAGCTAGCAGCAAGAATCGAGGCTCCAGGCGCGGCTGCAGACGCGGTTCCCGGCCCCAGTATAGTCAAACGATCCCGGGCTGCGGGAGAAGACGAAGAGGATCTGTGGTACCCAAGGCCCGGGAAGGACCGCAAAGAACAGCCGCCGCCGCTGCTTTGTCCAGCCTGCGGCCCTGCAAGTGCGCAGAGAGCGGGCGCGCGGAGGGAGCGCCGCGGGAGCCGGTTCGCTGAGCCGCTCTGCGGGTCCTCCAGCTTTGTGCTGCGCTGGGATCCGGCGCAGAAGAGCATTTGGTACTACAGCGCCAAGGGGGCATCATGCCCGCCGCTGCGGAACGGAGTCAATCGGCGAGGCAGTCCCACGCTGGAGGCAGAAACCGCGAGCGAGCGTGAGCCGGGAAGGAAGACACCAGGCCGAGGCGATCCGATGCGCGCTCCGATGGAGCACAGAGCCTAGCTGGAGGACTGTCAGCTTCCATCAAGCCCCCCGGGCTCTCTCCTCCAGCCTAACTTGAGCGAGGAGCTCGGACTTGAAAACTCTGCTCCTCCGGCTTCCCCCAGCTCTCTCCCCCGCCCCGCGAAAGCTGGGGTGTTTCAATGCTCAGGCCCCCAACGCTCGGTGGGTATTTTTCCTCGTCTTCCTCTGACCTAGCCGCGCACCGTGTTACCATTTCAACAAGTTTCGAGCTGGAAAGGTGGTTTGCTTTTTTTGCTTTTTTTTTATATTTAAAATTCTGATGTTTTTTTCTTTGTGTGGCAGAAAAAAAAAATCTATATGAAAGCATTAGCTTTCCCCCTAGTCTGATCACATACTCTCCCCAGATAATTAGTCTAAGTAATTCGAGAGTTTTGGGATTCTAAGACCTCAGGAGAAAAGTGTCTTTTCAAAGTTCATAAAGTTGTTGCCTCTTTTCCCTGTGCAGATTTTCTCAGTCTCCCTGCGCCATAATAGCCCTGAATTTTAGCAAGTGTAATTGGGGGAAATGGAGTTGAATTTCAAGTGGAAATGCTTTCTTTTTCGAGTGCTAAACCCTGGCCCTTCAGTCATGAGTGATTTCTAGAAAGTTTAAAAACAAAGTGAAACGTGGTTTCTTTCTTTCTTTCTTTTTTTCCTCATACTCTCCCAAGCTCTCTAAGCCATTTTGGGTGTTTAACTCGAACTTGGGAAGGTTTGAAAAGGGGGTATAAGCAGAAAATTAAATGAAAAGCAAAGTGCTTGTAAGCCTGGCAAGTTTACCGAGGAGAAATAATAGTTGTTACTGCTGACATTACATTTTTATAGCCGGTGACCTTTGCATACGTCGGGAAGGCAATTTGATTAGTTGTTATCTTATTTGGCCCTAGAGAGTAAAACTTTGTCATCCTAATTGCTAATTATTCTTTGGCTGGGGGCCGGGGGGGCGGGAGGATCCAGAGCGAGTTCTCCCCTTAAGGCCAGCTAAGGAGTTTTTGGATGGATTTTGTGAATTAAGTAATTAAAACAACAGCATCATTTGAAAGCTGAAGTTTATATTGGGGACAGGGAGGGGGGCAGTGGCCTAGTGGCCTTGTGGACCAAGGCCTGGGTGACTGAGATTTCTGGAGACTTCTTTATTCTGGATGTG